AGCTGAGCTATCAACTGTGAGTTGGATGATATCTATCAGGCATTAAATCTTCAACGTTCTTCTGGGAGTTGAGGTTTTTCTCATTCTCCAGGAAACATCAGCAGGTCAGCTCAGATCAGCGTTGATCTTATTTTCTTGTGTGCTCTGAACAGGATCTCTGTGGAATGTAGCTCCGCCTCCTAATAGGATCCACATGACCGCAGCTGATCTGCAGGGATTAAACCTGGATATTGGGAAACTGTAAAAGGTGGAGTTACAGAGAGCTTTGCACGTGGAATAAAACATGTTGAAATGCTCGAGCCCAGCCTGAGGTCTGTCACGGCTCGGTGGGGTTTTCTCTTGAACGTTGTCGGTTCTTTAGCTTACAGAGGAAAGAAGCTGAACGAAGGTGATTTAAAGTTGTTTTTGTTAGCAGCCCAGCTGATGTTGGGCTGAGGATGAGTGAATGGGGAAAAGAGAGTCCCAGTAATGGGACATTTCTCCTGAAATGGGAGAAAGAGAACACATCTACAACATGTTCCAAACTATTTGCTGACAGCAAAGATCAGACGTTTTCTTTTGTTTTTCAGGTGATAATAAGGCCAGTGCTTGTTTCTCCTGCAGACTGGATGCTGCTGAGGCTAAAGTAGAGGTCCTGCAGGTCCAGGATTAAGTTCTGGGAATGTTTTTAAAAATTCCTGATGGATTTCAGAGGTTGCTGGTGATTATTAGTCTGTTGTGATTTGGCACTGCATAAATCACATTCTTGAAGGTTCCTGTGCATTTGTTTATGGTTCATGAAGGTTCAGCACATCTTCACCTGATTCATTTTGCTTGTGGGAGAGAACACCGGCTATTTCCACGTCTCTGATCTCGTCTTGGACTTTGATCCCGTTCACTTGTATATATTTCATTAAGTTTGATTATTGAATGTTTTCGTTTGAATCATGTGGGTACTGTTGTTATTGTTGTTGTTGGGTTTGGTCTCAGTTGCAGTGAAAGCTGCATTTTGCTGTCAGGAGCAGCTCGTGGTCAAAGTTACCATTTTCCCTGGATCTCTGATTATGTTCCTCCATCTATTTTCTCGCCACGTTTATTTCACATCCTCCATCTTTTCCTCAGTCTGTTGTTGAGCTGCTGTTCCTCCACAGCTGGTGCAGCAGCCCAACAGCTGCTTTTTAGCTCCGCCTTCTAGCTGCTTCTTCCACGCTAAACTTTTTCTACAAGCTGTGTGAGCACACAGTGAAGGTAGGGTTGGGCCGGTCTCGTTAAGAAGTTTGATTAGGCGATCCAGTGTGAGTAATGAAAGTGAACGAATGGGCTGCTGTCATAAGGTCGGTGCGCAGCGGCCCTTCCGTGCACCATATGCTAGATTACCAGTCCAGCCCGATGGTGTGAGTGCTTCACTCCAGTTCACACGTACGAGGAAACCCTCCATGAAAGGTTGAATCTGCTTCTCTGTGGTATGCTTCACCGCTGTGACGTGTGATTGGTGTGGCAGTCCTCGTTCTGTCCATATCTGTGCCTTTCCCGGTCAAAGGTTTCTGGGAGCCTGCTTTTCTCTGCTTTCTTGTCTTTTAGTATCTATTTGTTGTTTTGACATCAAGCTGGTTTTGGTTAATCTCAGAAAATATGTCAGCAGCCTCACAGCTCGTGCACTGGAGAGAACCGAAGAAATCTGCAGCGGCGTTTGGCCTCTCACTGCTGGTTCTTCTCTCCTTGGCAACACTGTCAGTCATCAGCGTGGTGTCCTATTTGCTCCTGGCGTGCCTCTGTGTCACAATCACCTTCAGGTGGGTGGAACCTGCTATAGACAGATAGATCGCATTACCCAGCATGAAAAATATCTTCCTGTTCTCCATCCCGTCTGCAGGGTTTATAAATCCGTGATCCAGGCCGTCCAGAAGTCCGATGAAGGTCATCCATTCAGGTAACCCGGGTGATTTGATTCTAACCTGGCTCTAATCACTCTAACCTCACTAGAGCTCTCGTCTTCAGGTCTCTGTTGGAGAGGGACATTTCCGTGTCCTCAGAGTCAGTTCGGCAGCTCGCTGACCAGTTTCTGATCCACTTGAACTGGTTCAGTAATCAAACAAGGAGGCTGTTACTGGTGGAAGACCTGGTCGACTCCCTGAAGGTCAGCGTGTGTTTTTATTCTGTGTGTTTGTTTGTCGTGTGTATTCTCAACTTTATCTATCCATGAAGCCAGATAACACACACCAAGCACTTAAACTGCAGGAATGTCTAAATTCGGATAAAGCTGAGGTTACTGTACTCGACCCTAAAAACCCAGAGTCCTGACAGGGACTAGAAAGAGAGAGCAGATTTCTCCTGTATTGGCTTCCTGCTAAATCCAGAATTCAGAATCCTGCTCCTCACATACAAGCTCTTAAATAATCAGGCCCCATCTTATCTGAATGACCTTGTAGTACCATATCACCCTATTAGAGCAAAAGGGAGTTTTTCCTTCCCACTGTCGCCAAAGCGCTTGCTCACAGGGCGTCATATGATTGTTGGTTTTTCTCTGTATTATTTAGGGTCTTTACCTTGAGACTGTTGTGATTTGATGCCTTATAAATAAAACTGAATTTTGTGTATTGTTTGTGTGTTTGGTCCATGTCTTTGTTCTACGTGTTCCAGCTGGCAGCCGTCACCTGGGTGATGACGTACGTTGGTGCCGTGTTCAATGGCGTCACCATCTTGATCCTTGGTGAGTTTGTTTCCCTCTGAGCGAGTTAAATATCAGTCTTTCTGATCTCCGATTGGTTGTCTCTCTGTGTGCAGCTGACATCATTTTCTTCACTACACCGTTGATCTACCAGAAGAAGAAGGTAAAGACACACCTGGTGTCCCTGTCTTCTGCCCAGTTTGCTCTGTGCTTAGCTCAGAGTGTTTCTGTGTTCAGGCTCAGATCGATCGTCACGTTGAGGCTGTTCGGCTCAAACTGGAAGAAACTCTGCAGAGGTGAGGTCACGGGTAATCAGGTGTTCATCATGTTTGGCCTCACCGAAGGTCAACTCTGATCTAAATGCCTCACTGAGGTCAGAGGTGAGAATCTGACCTTCATTTCTGCAGCACCACTGGGGTCTGTAATGTTTGTCTCAGGTGTCCATGGTCCACAGGTAACTGCCGTCTGTCTCACCTGTGCACATGCTGACCTCAGATCTAAACTCAGTGTCTGTCTTAATTGAACCAGGTGAGCTCTGTTCTACCTTTATGAAGAGTCGGACTGAACTGAGCATGCTCAGTGTGTTCATACTGTCTGTTCCTAATGTGCTTGTCACCTGTCTATAGTTAAAGTCCACAGTCGGGTTGCTGATTGATCATCCATGTTCAGTTTCCACGTTAACACAGATGAGCCCACCTCTAATCTGCAGGTGTTCACATTATTCTGTCCAGACAAGCAGCTGACAAGCGTCCTGTGTCTGTTTTCAGTCTGCAGGATAAGTTACCTGGCGCTGTGAAGAAGACCAAGGTTGAGTGACACCTGAGATGTTGAAGCTCTGCCCCCTCCTCTCATTGGCCTGTTTGTCTGTGACTCACAAGTCTTTGAATAAAATCAGACTGACGAGAAACAAGCCGTGTGTTTTTATTCTGGCCCAGCATCACCAGTCCTCACCTGTCCAAGCCGTCGCATTCAGTGGCGTGAGCGTGGTCATGTTTACACAGTTACTTCCTGATGTTTGGACAGGAAGCAGCTTCACTGTTTCACGACAGCAAGGAAGTCATGGAACTGTGAATTTTACTTTGTTGGAAGTATTCTGTAGTATAACTACATTGTGAATGCCCTTCAAAATAAAGATCACCATGACTGTGACCAGTCAAGAGTGATGCTTTTATTTTGAAGGCTTCTGAGAGAGGTTTAAATATCAGAGATAAAAATATCTCGCTGTGCAAACATGATTCCGTGTGTGCTTTTACTTTGTCTCCTTCACGCCATCATGGCTGAAAACAGACTCGTCTCCGTGGACTTCGAGGTCTTCGGGAACGTGCAGGGTAGGTCGCCTGACACGTGACGGCGAGTTTGTGTGTTTTTTGAGGTTTTACTCGCTGACCCTGTGTTTGTTCTCCGTGTTCAGGAGTGTGCTTCAGGATGGTGAGCTTCCTCTTTTCCTTCACATTACTGCTGTTTTTGATCAGGATGTACCATGGAAACGTGTCACATGACTAAACGCACACACCTGTGAATGTGTGCCAGTACACGGAGGATCACGGGCGCAGTCTGGGGCTCAGCGGCTGGGTGAAAAACACCAGACAGGGCACTGTGATTGGTCAGGTCCAGGGACCGTGGGACAAAGTCAGTGACATGTGAGTCTGGCTGACCAATCAGAGCCTCCGAACACACACACACACACACACACACACACACATATATATCCTTTAATGGATTTTTATTTGAAAATGTCAGTGCAGTATTACAGCTCCCATAATGCTTTGCAGCTCTATGCTGTCCTCATTTGCCTCCTCCTATGACCTGGCTATGACCTCACAGTCAGAGCAGGAGGAGGACTGAGGAGCAAGGAGCTACAGGAGCATACTCAGAGAGGCGGGGCCACAGTTCTCCTACTAAACTACTTGTGTGTGGCAGTGAAGCGCTCTGATACGATCACATGACTCTCACCTGTCACATCTGTGACATCAGACGTTTACATTAAAATCAAGCAGGTCCTTAAACTCTTTATGCCACAACTCTGTCACTCACTGGTGTGATGGGAGGGGCTAAAGAGGTGTCAGTGTGTAGTTTGTGAAATGACTCCTCCCACTCGTGTTGTAACTGTCCTGTGATATAACCTGAACTCTTTAATGAGGATGGGGTTTAAACACAATTAAGCCCCTCCTACTAAGTGATGCCAGTGGCGTGGGCTGTGTCTCTGTCAGGTGACCTCACTGTGATGAATAGGAGCGCAGTGTTTCTTTATTCACTGTGGGGTCAGAGGTCACTGAGAAATACCCCAAATGTACTAACTGCACTCTTCCTCCTCCTCCTCTTCCTCAGGAAGCACTGGCTGAAGAGCGTTGGCAGTCCGAGTTCCCGAATTGATCGAGCCGTGTTCTCCGACGAGCGAGACATTTCCAAAGTGGAGATCCACGGGTTCTCGACTCGCTACTGAGCACGCTCACACACCTGATCTGCAGCTGACTACAAATCTGACAGTATTGATTATTGATTGGTGACATCACTGTTTCCAATGTTTAATATGATCAGAGAAATAAAGTGTAAAGATTTACTGTTGCCATGGTGAACAAACTGAGTTTTTATTACACAGCTACTTCCACCAGGGGGCGGCCTCTGGCAGCTGATTGGCAGCTCCTCCTGAAGCCCCACCGAGTTTATGAAGTCCACAGACCCGGAGGCTCGGTCATGTGACCGCTCAGGGCCCACTACACGTTTACCTTTGCTCACCTTCATCCACATCAGGCCTGCAGCCAGCTTAAACACATGCGGCTTCACAGCGCCTCCTCAGGCTGCTCATTGCTGACCAAATGAAATACATATTTTTTATATACAGATATAAAAACGATCGACCTGATGAAAATGTTTCTGAGTAAGAACCTATCTGTGAATGCTGCTGTACTTACAGTATTAATCACATCATCTCCAGGAAAACTAGGCCAAAAAAGTAAATTCTGATGTAAACCTTCATAAAAATAAAGACACGTAACAGCAGAAAGAGAGCAGGATCTCTTTACACATGAAAGAAGAGTTTTGGATAAATCAGCTGATTCTGGATCAGCTGATTCAGCTTGGATCAAACATCTGTATGATCCACAGTCTGAAGAGAAAACATCCTTAAACATCTGCGCTGAGGCGTTTAGTAAAAGCTCATCGTCGCCAGCTGCTCCGATGCTGACAGAGGTGGAGGCGCACGGAGGTCAGCTCCTGCTGCGACTAACTCACTGCGCCTCTGTGTGAAAACAAATAACAGCAAGAATCATAGAGAGGCTCCGCCTACTTCTAGGAGGACTGACGAGACCGGTCAGCCGAGCTGTGACTGATCCCATCAGATCACCTCATCTTCATTCAGCGTGCTGCTTCGTGCTGTTCGATTGTTCTGCTCACGGTTCAAACTCTTCGTCGTCACCACGATCCGCTGCGAGTCATGTGACACAGTGCTGAATGTTCAGTAAATGCTAGTGGTGTTACTATGGTAACGAATCCTGGCGCAGCATCCAGGCGGCGAACCTCCTGATGTGACTCTCCTCCTGCAGGCGGTGGTTCTCCTGACGGAGGCTCAGCACCTGCTGCTGCAGCACAGCTTTGTCCCGCTGCTCCTGAAAACAACATGGACACAAGTCAATGCGATGATGTCATCCGCTTGTCTCCATGACATCAGTTTAATGCGCTTTACCTTTAGCAGGTCGAGCTGCAGCTGCTGAAGAATCTCTTCCAGTTGGAGGACTTCACCTGAGAGGGAGCGGGCTGTGATGTCACTGAGGGAAGGGGAGCCGTGATGTCACTGTGATGTCAGCAATATTACACGGAAAATAAATGAGGTGTCTCACCTGTCCTCCAGGGCGGAGCTCTGTGATGTCACCCCCAGTGTGCGTTGTGTCTGATTGATGTCCGCTGTGAACAGGTGAACAACCAGCTAACTAAGAGAGGGTGGCGGCTTCGCAACAACAGACAAACAACAAACCAGATGTGACCAACGGTGAGTCATGTGACCACAGGAGGCGGTCCTTAAGTAATTTTGCCTGTAACAAGCAGTTATTTGAGTTCCTGTTTCCTGCCTATCAGCTCGAAGTGGTCCACCCCTTCTGCCATCTATGTAAATTAGTTTCCAGACGGTTTGGAGGATGCTGAGGGTTGCTGAGGTCCTAACTGATCTCTGAGCTTTAATCTGCTCCTCGGTGAAACCAGGAGCCCTGCTCAGTTGACCTCACTGACCTCTGGGAGTGTGCATCATTACCAGGTCAGAAACGCGACACATTTAAGGACCTTAAAATCAGTTTTCAATAGCGCTGGGAGCAAAGAACAGGCACTGTTTCTCCTTCACTCACTATGTGTTAACAGACCTCTCTGCATTGAATCATATCTGTTATTAACCTCTGTCTCTCTTCCACAGCATGTCTTTATCCTGTCTTCCTTCTCTCACCC